GAGTAGGGGAATTATTGAAAAGGTTGAAAAGGGGAGGGGAAGGAAGGAAGAAAATTAACAAATGTTAATTCATGCAGAATTCCGAAGTAAGAGATGCATATGTGATAGTCAATGGGTTTACGTATTGGACTTTTATTATATATTTAGATATTTCATTCATATTTGATGAACGTAATAAATAATTAATTTAAAAAATTCTGTAAATGAATTTAGAATTATTTCATATATCCAGAGATTTACTTGGAATTCTGTAAAACGATATTAATGTATGTATTGTCTACACGTTTCAAAACAACAGCACACTTATATATATATATATATATATAAGTTTTCAAATATAAAATATATGCATTGAAATATGTGATAAATGTATTGAAAAATATATTATATATGTTTTCAAATATATAATATATGTATTGAAATATTAATTAGATATGTATTGAAATATATGATATGTGTATTGAAATATATGATAAATGTATTGAAATATACATGATATACATTATAAAAATATATGATTTATATCGTACGTAAATATATGACATATTATATTTAATATATGAGATATAAAATATACAAATGTTAAGTCCAGGAAAGTTGAAAAATGAAAGTTAAAGTTTAAAAATGACTATTAGAAGATCAAATGAAAGTTAAAGTTTAAAAATGACTATTAGAAGATCAAATGAAAGTTTAAGTTTAAAAATGACTATTAGAAGATCAAATGAAAGTTTAAGTTTAAAAATGACTATTAGAAGATCAAATGAAAGTTTAAGTTTAAAAATGACTATTAGAAGATCAAATGAAAGTTTAAGTTTAAAAATGACTATTAGAAGATCAAATGAAAGTTTAAGTTTAAAAATGACTATTAGAAGATCAAATGAAAGTTTAAGTTTAAAAATGACTATTAGAAGATCAAATGAAAGTTTAAGTTTAAAAATGACTATTAGAAGATCAAATGAAAGTTTAAGTTTAAAAATGACTATTAGAAGATCAAATGAAAGTTTAAGTTTAAAAATGACTATTAGAAGATCAAATGAAAGTTTAAGTTTAAAAATGACTATTAGAAGATCAAATGAAAGTTTAAGTTTAAAAATGACTATTAGAAGATCAAATGAAAGTTTAAGTTTAAAAATGACTATTAGAAGATCAAATGAAAGTTTAAGTTTAAAAATGACTATTAGAAGATCAAATGAAAGTTTAAGTTTAAAAATGACTATTAGAAGATCAAATGAAAGTTTAAGTTTAAAAATGACTATTAGAAGATCAAATGAAAGTTTAAGTTTAAAAATGACTATTAGAAGATCAAATGAAAGTTTAAGTTTAAAAATGACTATTAGAAGATCAAATGAAAGTTTAAGTTTAAAAATGACTATTAGAAGATCAAATGAAAGTTTAAGTTTAAAAATGACTATTAGAAGATCAAATGAAAGTTTAAGTTTAAAAATGACTATTAGAAGATCAAATGAAAGTTTAAGTTTAAAAATGACTATTAGAAGATCAAATGAAAGTTTAAGTTTAAAAATGACTATTAGAAGATCAAATGAAAGTTTAAGTTTAAAAATGACTATTAGAANACATTTCGTAATATCTATAACATCAAACAAACTTTAGTTCTCAACACTGGTCAATGATTTTATGGAGGGGGGAGGAATGGAGATTTAAATTTTAATATTATAACTCTTTGATGTTTAGGATTTTTATTGTAAATTGTTAAATGAAATACTTACAAAGGTTTGGACTGCTGATAGACAGCTCCTGGTCCTTGATCAGAGCAGTGTGGAGGAGCACAGTAAACCTGTCCAGTGTATTCATGAACCCGGAGACAAACTTACTCCGGAGTAGATCTGGCAGGTCCTGCCAGGCCTCCAGGTTCTCAACCTCCAGGAGAACGGACCCAACCTTGAGCAAACTCTGGGCAACCTCTACGACCATGGCCTCCCTCTGCTCCGGGGTTGGGATTGTGTTCATCTGGAACTCCATCTTCTCCGTGATGATGGTGAGAGCGGAGATGATGGACATGATGTCTCCACCGTAGAGATGGTTCGCAGAGACATACTGAACCAGGTCAGTGGAGATGGTTACAATAGAATCAGATCTACGTAGCTCACTGATAATCTTCTTGGTCCAGAAGGACTCACATTCGCTGAGGTCCGGAAAGAACGTGGACCAGGTACTTTCTCCACTGCTAGTGGACCGACACTCCCAGCGAGCCAATCCTGTGGTCCCTGGGGGGCAGGACTGTTGGGCCATTGTGCCCTGTGGGGTCCAGGACCAAGATAAACCTCGAATAGTTCTGGGTGGGCATTTTGACACAAGATAGATCTAGGAGTTCTCCGTCACAGGAGTAGGAGGTATTCATCCCTCCTACGGACCTATATCCTCCACCTCGAGATACTCCGAAAACTCCTAAAATAAAAAATAAAAGTAAAGGTACTGTAGTCATAATTTCACGTGATCCTCCATTAGCAAACTTGCTTTCCTGGCTCACAACCTTTTTCTCATCAAACATTATACAAATATCCTTGTCTTTATTTTAACAAATTTAATAGCTATGTATTTAACTATGTAAAATCGCAGATTTATGCCCCCCCCCAAAAAAAAAGATATTGATTGGTATGTAAACCCTTCAGTTGTCATTGGTCTTTAATAGCTTTAAAAGTTTATAAGTGTATTTTTCATTTTTATTTGCCATACTACATATGTCAATAAAGGATCTAAAGGATCTATCTTGTTCTATTCTCTATAGTCCTGTTGTAGCGAAGTTTGTAAAAAAATGTTGTTTTGATTTATAGATCCAATAATTCCTTCCCTCTAAACATCGATGCATCAGGAAGATTAAATTTTAGAAAAGAAAATAAAGAATTTTGGTTCAATTATTCAAAATGGCAGAAAATTGAAATTTAGGTTACAAAGTTTTTATCTCTCCACTGGTAAAAAGTGGCATTTCAATTTATTGTTAGGGAGGAGTTAGACATGAAGGTATTCTTCTTCTTCTTCTTATTCTTCTTTAGTTCAGTTTAGTTTAGCTTTAGTTGCATAAAATACATGCTCGAAGGGACTGTTCACGTCATTTTATGTGACACTTCATTTATAAAGTGAAGTGTTCTTTTTCACAACGCACTGGTACTCTCTCAAGCTTTGTTTGAAAAAAAATTGATAGGAAGATTGATTTTTTATTGTAGTTTCTCATTTCGTTTTTTTAATTACAGAAATCATGGAGGAAATTGATATATTCAGTCTCTGAACTTTTCAGTTTTCTTTACAAAGACGAGAATCAGCAACTTTGTTTTGATTAGATTTTGTTCTTTTTAAAGTTTGTCTTTCTTATCAAAAGCTTTTCACACAATACACTTTATTAATTAATTTGTTTAACATCTTCAGTGTATAAACCAGTACCATAAAAAAATAAAATGCCAACCCAAACTTGTTCACTGTAATCAGTGCAAATGTAGGTTGTAGTGTACCGTGGTGTAATGTAGTGTACTGTACTATACTGTACTGTATTGTACTGTGGTGTAATGTACTGTACTGTACTGTACTGTACTGTAATAATTGTTCCTGAAAGTTCTGTAAATCTATATATTCTCCGAATCCCTGGATTTCCATAAACATGCATAAACATTCTTATTCTCTAAGCACATTCACCATCTATTCACTGCACAGTGTTCAATCTAAACACTTTCAGAAGGGGTAGGGTAGTATGACTTTTTTTTAAAGAGAACTAGAAAATGGAAAATACCTTTCTTCTGTAAACTCTCTAAAGTATATATTTTATATATGTTCATTTATTAATTTTATTGCTCCCTGAGCTCTCTTTAGTTAATTACCAAATAAACCCAGAGTGCTCTAAAGCTATGGGTTGCAAAATTAGTCCGGATTTAATTCTTATTTTCTCCAGCTTTACAATTTTAAAATAAAATACATAGCTATTATAAAACTTAAAATCTATAAAAGAAACTAGTCAGCTATCATAAACTTGTCAATCAATTGGGATGATAATGTTAAAATTTAACAGAAAGATAAAAACTAAGGATGATGATACCTTGAACCAGCTGGAAAAAGACGACTAGAAGAAGCGAAGAAATCCATCCTTTACCACGATCTCTAATCCACATTCTGAAAAGAAAATAGTTAAAGGGACTGAGCGGGAATTTTAATTTATTTAATGGGATTGAAAACGCAATAAGTAACCCTTTATTTAGAAAATCGCATGTAAGATTCACAAATCAGGAGGAAAAAATCGTCGTTTTTCTATTCTACACAGTTGACAATAATCAAATAATCAATTTCAGTAAGAAAAATATACTTTTCTTTATCATCCTTGATAAGGGTTTAAAGGTTACCGTTGTAAATCAGACATGCCTCTGTTCAGATGGTTGATAACAGCTGTAGTCACTTTACGTGAGAAATCATTTTTTCGACATTGCACATTTGTGTTTCATAAGTTTCTTGAAAGTTGTTATTTTTCAATACAAGATTATGTTTACAGACAAAACTGTTAAATCAACGAAATAACATATCAAAATCTACAAAACAAGATTATGTTCACAGACAAAACTGTTAAATCAACGAAATAACATATCAAAATCTACAAAATAAGATTATGTTTACAGACAAAACTGTTAAATCAACGAAATAACATATCAAAATCTACAAAAATACAATTTTGTCAGCTCAGCATTGACTGGGTTTATTGCCCAATTTACTATTTATAACCATAAAGATAAATCTAGCTTTAAACTTTAGAATAGTTTTTATTTCAATTTATTCTTTAAACTTTGAAAGTACAGCTGTTACCATTATGCTAAAGCGTGGAGACAAAATGTAAAAGAATTCAAATTAAGTAATAATAATGATATATAAAGATATAGATAATTTATCATATAAGTTTTAGAAAACAGAATAAAAAGTATGGATAGGATTGAGAGGATGAATAGGAAGGATAGGAAGGATAGGATGTATAGGATTGAGAGGATGAATAGGAAGGATAGGAAGGATAGGAAGGATAGGATGGATAGGAAGGATAGGATGTATAGGAAGGATAGGACGGATAGGAAGGATAGGAAGGATAGGATGGATCGGATGGAAGGTTCAAATCAAGAGAATTCAATCAAATATTCTAGTCCTGAACTCTACACTCTACACTCCTCACTCAGCAAATCTTGAAGCAAATCTTGTAATAGAAAAGATTTTCTGAGGAGTAAATGAAATGTAAGATGGACATTTTCAATCTGATATAATTTCTCTTCCCTTCTCTACAAATCTGGGTTTCAATTCTAATATTTCTCCAGAAGTTCAAATATTTCTCCAGAAGTTTTAATATTTCTCCAGGAGTTTTAATATTTCTCCAGGAGTTCTAATATTTCTCCAGGTGTTCTAATATTTCTCCAGGTGTTCTAATATTTCTCCAGGAGTTCTAATATTTCTCCAGGAGTTCTGATATTTCTCCAGGTGTTCTAATATTTCTCCAGGAGTTTTAATATTTCTCAAGGAGTTTTAATATTTCTCCAGGTGTTCGAATATTTCTCCAGGAGTTTTAATATTTCTCCAGGTGTTCTAATATTTCTCCAGGAGTTCTAATATTTCTCCAGGAGTTTGAATATTTCTCCAGGTGTTCTAATATTTCTCCAGGAGTACTAATATTTCTCCAGGAGTTCTGATATTTCTACAGGTATTCTATTATTTCTCCAGGAGTTTTAATATTTCTCCAGGAGTTTTAATATTTCTCCAGGTGTTCTAATATTTCTCCAGGAGTACTAATATTTCTCCAGGAGTTCTGATATTTCTCCAGGTGTTCTAATATTTCTCCAGGTGTTCTAATATTTCTCCAGGAGTTCTAATATTTCTCCAGGTGTTCTAATATTTCTCCAGATGTTCTAATATTTCTCCAGGTGTTCTAATATTTCTCCAGGAGTTCTAATATTTCTCCAGGTGTTCTAATATTTCTCCAGGTGTTCTAATATTTCTTCAGGAGTTTTAATATTTTTCCAGGAGTTCTAATATATCTCCAGGTATTCTAATATTTCTTCAGGAGTTTTAATATTCTTCCAGGAGTTCTAATATTTCTGAAGGAGTTTTAATATTTCTTTAAGAGCTCTAATATTTCTCTAGGATTGCAAATATTTCTGCTTAGGAGACAACAGACATCTATTCATTAAAAATTGACATTTTTCTTTCAGAGGCTCAGAGCTAATATTTATCTCTAGAACTAGAAATATATTTATAAAATGTTTGACATATCTTTCATAGAGAACACATCTCTAAACTATTCTTATTTCCTGATAATAAATTTTAAATTTTAGAACATTGACTCTGACAACCAAATGGACATATCCAATTTTATAATATTTACATTGCCTTTTTTGTAATTACTTCTTTTTCGATTTATTTGAAAGTTCAAACCAAAGTTAACAATAATCTTTAGGTTTTTAGAAACGGTTATAATTTTATTAGATGAAATTATTTCTTTTTAAGACCAAAGCACCTAAAAACAAAAATCCAAAAGGTTAAAATTTTGCTTTTAGTTTAAACATTTCACCTTTTTTCTGAAATTGTCGTAGAAATTATTTCAACAACGTTAGAAGTTTATCAAATAATAGTTTTAAAATTCTTCGAGACATTTTAAACAAAGTTTATTAATTGTTTAAAAATTGATAAACTTTGAACATTCAAAATAAACATCTTTGCAATTTGATATTCAGGTTTTTATCAAAATATTTTGATAGTTTTGTACTTACTTGAAGAAATAAAGAATTAGTTTCTCATGATTTTATTCCTGTGATAACTGAGCAAGCATAATTACACTATTTAGTTCCACTACTGCTTTTATCACTTCCAAATTTAGATAAAATAATGCCACTGGATACAAATTTTACTATCTTATATACTGTTTTCACTGTGACTTGTATTATCTTTAGAATTGTCTGTTATGGGTTAGATCTGAAGAGGTTTATCTCCGAGCTTGATCTGAGTAAGGTTGGTTAGCTCCGACTATATGTTAGAGTAGAGGGTGCGGTACTGACTATATTATTTCTAAACGAGAAGAGCCGACCCGGCTCTCTTGCTAGGGACCCACAGCATATATATATCACATAGTTTCTCTAAGGCGAGGAAAATTCACCAGGAACCTTAATACTTTTTGTTTTCATTAAAAGTTTACTTTTGTTACATTTTGCAGGGATAGTGGAAGAAAGATACATCTAACCACCATAGTTTTGTAAACATAAAAATGTACTACAGTTTCTGGGAGGAAAATTAACCAAACTGGGCCTGAATAAGTTCATGTTTCGCCCAGAAATTGTAGATAACTTTTTTTGTAAACAAAGGTCCAATCAAAATCTAAACCAAATGATATTTTCTGCAGTAAAACATTTGTAAAAATTCTAATTTTACTTTTACAAATGTACAAAGTAATCCGTTCTTAAAATCAAATTTCAATAAAGTTCTCCAAATAGTTTATTTTAAGGTTATTCGAACCTTTTCCCATAAAATAAAGCGCTTAAATTATCTATTAAACAGTTTGGTATATTTTTACAGGTTTTAATTTCTCCAAACAGTTAAATGACTGATGTGATATCTAGCTAAAGCTAGAAAATTTTAAAAATACTTGAATAAGCGATTTGGACCCATGCACAAGTGGAAACTGCAAAATGAACAATTTAAATTTGTTTTCTCATGGTTCGCACTTTTTCAACAATTTGAAACGGGTTCTCTAAACTGCAATTAAAAGAATGATTTGAATATATTCTATATAAGATATAGCTCTTCAAAACATATGATTGAGTAATTCTATTTTTTTAAATTTACGGTAGATATACTTTCAAGTTTATATAGAGTATAATATGTCCGCTTCAAAACGGCACTTTTAAACTTTGTCTGATTAGTGATCAAGTATAATGACTTTTTAAAATATTTTTCATGCCAATATTAACTTCGCTTTTTTTTTTTACATTTACAAGTTATATGATATGACATCTGCATACATCAAATGTTTTCTCTAAATACTCTGCAATTTATTCTACTCATAATAATTTTTCTCAACAAAAAAAATATTGATAAACGTGACAATTTGAAAAATATGTAAACTGTCTCGAAATGGTTACGACAATCTTCCTCTTTTAATTTTGCTGTGGGTCCCTATGAAGAATCTGAGTTGGATGGGTGTCGGAAGAATCTGTCGAACCGGGTGTTTGAGCTGCAAACCACCGGTTCCACTCCTCTCACCGGACTCCGTAATAAGCCAGGAACACCTTCATAATCTTGATGAGGAGGATAGTTAGAGAGACAGACAATACTTTTGCAAATAGGACATATAGATAGATAGATAGATATATAGTTAGATAGATAAATAGATAGATAGATAGAGAGATAGATAGATAGAGAGATCTAAGACCCCCGGAAGTGAAGACTAGTTTTGAGGAAAAAACAGATTACTCTGTTGAGCCAATAGTTAGCTCCTAGCATCCGTTACCATATCCTTGTTTATTTACAAACAGAACCAACAACCTTATACTGCAAGGCTTATAAACAGTGGAACATGAAGACGACATTTAATGAATCTAATGTGAGTTTAATGTTGATATGAAGCAAATAGCTTGACCAGCAGCTTTAAAATAAAATGTTGCACCGTATTTCATGTTCGTAACTAAGCAATAAGCTTTACTTGAGTCTGAAATCTTCATTTGTCATCGTTTTATGGGTTCAGCTGTATCGTTGTATAGGGTTACCCACAAAGAATGAGACTGTAAAGACGACCGGACACTCTTAAAAAAGGCGATTCCGTGGTTAAATTAAGCCTTCTGCTCTGAATATATATATTTTTTTATGGCTTATTCAATGATCAGGCAAAAATACAAAGTTTACAGTTGAAAGGAATAAATATATGGACACAGACAGTTATAAAATCTATACAATCTTCTCTTAAGTCTCATCCTTTTGTGGATAACCCTGCATTTCTATTTCTCCGGTTATATATGGATACCTTTTACCTTTTTTTGAAATAACTTTGCACATACCTCCATAAAGAGTTTAAAAATCATCCGGAACCATAAATTGGTTTTAAAAGAAGTTTAATAATTTGAGTCAGGACTCAGGATATAAGGTATACAAATGTTTCTGGGATAACAAATATTTTGCAACATTTTAAACCCCTTAATACATTAAAAAAATTGAGTTTTTGCCACAAACTTTGATTTGTTCAACCCCTAAATCTTTGTAAACTGATTTTGTAAACATTTGATATTTCAAACTTAGATTATTTGATTGAACAGAATTTATAGTTTGAAATATCTAAGGTCTACGGCTTTGGGTTGCAAAGATGTCGGGATTAGGAAATAATAGTTTGTGGTAAGGGCTCAATTCCTTTTGATAAAGGTCGTGTTTATGAGAATAACCTGTATCCAGTATCTACTCTACAGGCAGGTGTTCTTGTTTACTTTAATCTGCCTTGTTTACTCGTGTTGCAACATTAATACCTTATTATTTCCAGATGTATGTATCTCATTTATGATAGATTGGTAATTAAAGAAACTGAAGGCGTATTTTCTTTGATATTTCAAACAAAGATCTCATAAGTTATCCTTGATTAGACAAATGTTTAAAGGTCATCGTTGTGAATGGTACATGCCCTCTTTTTGAAATGGAGGGTCTGTTGAAATTACGGCTCCAATCCCTTTAAATCTAATACTTTTTCTTGTGCATCAAGAAATTTCTAATGTGTACATTACAGTACATTACGTAAATTTATGACATAATATAAAATAGGCACAAAAAAACAAAAAAGTTCTTTTTCCAAAGTTTAGCTAATATTATGAATACTCTGTAATAATACTTATATAACTAAAAAACGATCAAACTTTAAAGATTTCGGTTTAAAAAGCTTAAATATATAGCTTTTATTTTAAAAGCAGTTCAACAAATTTCGTATTTTGATTGTGTTTAAAGCCTAGATAAATTAGAATAGATTGCTCATGCAGAGTGTAAAGCTGAAAATTGTACAACCCCTTGTACATCATAAACTCGTCATTTAGTACATGGGTAATAGTAAGTACCCCACCTGGTTTTGTTTAAGCTAGTACTTGGTTAATAGTAAGTACCCCACCTGGTTTTGTTTAAGCTAGTACGTGGTTAATAGTAAGTACCCCACCTGGTTTTGTTTAAGCAAGTACATGGTTAATAGTAAGTACCCCATCCTGGTTTTTTTTATCTAGTACATGGTTAATAATAAGCATCCAACCTGGTTTTGTTTAAGCTAGTACATGGTTAATAGCAAGTATCCCACCTGGTTTTGTTTAAGCTAGTATATGGTTAATAGGAAGTACCCCACCTGGTTTTGTTTAAGTTAGTACATGGTTAATAGTAAGTACCCCACCTGGTTTTGTTTAAGCTAGTACATGGTTAATAGTAAGTACCCCGCCTGGTTTTATTTAAGCTAGTACATGGTTAATAGTAAGTACCCCACTTGGTTTTGTTTAAGCTAGTACATGGTTAATAGTAAGTACCCCACCTGGTTTTGTTTAAGCTAGTATATGGTTAATAGTAAGTACCCCACCTGGTTTTGTTTAAGCTAGTACATGGTTAATAGTAAGTACCCCACCTGGTTTTGTTTAAGCTAGTACATGGTTAATAGTAAGTACCCCACCTGGTTTTGTGTAAGCTAGTACATGGTTAATAGTAAGTAGTAAGTACCCCACCTGGTTAAACATGGTTGCAAAGCATTAATGCATGGTTTTCTACCAACCAATGATTCATTCAATATAATTTCCCTAACGATGAAGTTAGAACGAAGTTCCGGCCCTTCCCCTCCCCCCTCCCCCTTCATCCTACTTCCGGAAACCAGCCAGGCATTTCAGGGAAAGCAGACCCAGTTTCTAACAAGCGTATACTTGTTAAAAATGTTAAAAGGTGTTCATGAATTAAAATACATATTCGTACATGTATACATTCACACATGTATTTAGCGATTGATATTTTAATCGTATTCAGAAATTTTTTTTTGAATTTGACAATTTTCTTAAATCTTGAAACGGAAACCAGAACAGTTTAAAATAGACAGACTTAAAGGGAGTGTTTGCGAAAAAAGAATGGGGGATGAGAATAAACAATTATCAAATTTACGAAAAGATTGCTTCTAATTTCTGTTTTTATTTCTTTCTGATGTTTCTTTCTACTTCACAGGGAGTCAGTTTATTGTCTTCAGTCAGTTTATTGTCATCAGTCAGTTTATTGTCATCAGTCAGTTTATTGTCTTCATTCAGTTTATTGTCATCATTCAGTTTATTGTCATCAGTCAGTTTATTGTCTTCAGTCAGTTTATTGTCTTCAGTCAGTTTATTGTCATCATTCAGTTTATTGTCTTCAGTCAGTTTATTGTCATCATTCAGTTTATTGTCATCAGTCAGTTTATTGTCTTCAGTCAGTTTATTGTCATCATTCAGTTTATTGTCATCAGTCAGTTTATTGTCATCAGTCAGTTTATTGTCTTCAGTCAGTTTCACCAAAAATAAAATAGTTTCCAATGATTTTTGGACTTTAGCGTATTTTCTCTTTAGTGGAAAGGAAGAAATTGAGTCTTTTTTCTACAAACAAAACTGTCTATATCTTTTTAATCTGAAGGTGCATACCTTTGATATTTCAAACTTAAACTTTTTGATCTAACAGAAATTCATAGCTTAAAAATATCCAATGTTAACAACATTAGGCTGTAAAGAGATAGATGTTAGAAAACCGATCGATAATTTAAGCATGAATCATCCTTTAACCACTATAAGCATGAAATTCACTAGTAAGGGGGCAATTCATTACATAGCGTACAAAGACGGTTCATGCAAGTTTCACTATGGTACAATTTTATCTGTAGCTAAATACCGTACCCCTACAAAGTTTAGTAAACACTCCCTTTAAAACAAATATATTTAAGGATGAAAAAGCCACCATAGCTCTAATCAATTTTCAAGACCATGTACAGAGTTACCCACAAAGGATGATACTTTAATGAAGATCTAAAACTCTTCAAGTTTGCTGATTTGAAGATTGATGTTTTCTTTCTACCTCCGATATATTTATATTGTGTAAACTATACTTGATGATTTTTAAATGAAAGAATTAAGTGTAT